ATCATTCAAAAGTCCACAAATGACAAATGCTGGAGAGGCTGTGGAGAAAAGGGAACCCTCCTACACTGCTGGTGGGAATGCAGTTTGGTGCAGCCACTGTGGAAAACAGGATGGAGATTCCTCAAAAGACTAGAAATAGACTTACCATATGACCCAGGAATCCCGCTCCTGGGCATATATCCAGAAGGAACCCTACTTCAGGATGACACCTGCACCCCAATGTTCATAGCAGCACTATTTACAATAGCCAAGGCATGGAAACAGCCTAAATGTCCAACAACAGATGACTGGATAAAGAAGATGTGGTATATTTATACAATGGAATACTACTCAGCCATAAAAACCGACAACATAATGCCATTTGTAGCAACATGGGTGTTCCTGAGAATGTCATTCTAAGTGAAGTAAGCCAGAAAGAGAAAGAAAAATACCATATGAGATCGCTCATATGTGGAATCTTATAAAAAAGAACATAAATACAAAACAGAAACAGACTTATAGACATAGAATACAAACTTGTGGTTGCCAAAGGGGGGAGGTGGTGGGAAGGGATAGACTGGGAATTCAAAATTTGTAGATATTGACAGGTATACATAGAATAGATAAACAAGATTATACTGTATAGCACAGGGAAATATATACAAGATCTTGCGGTAGCTCACAGAGAAAAAAAATGTCACAATGAATATACGTATGTTCATGTATAACTGAAAAATTGTGCTCTACACTGGAATTTGACACAAAATTATAAAATGACTATAACTCAATAAAAAATGTTTTAAAGAACATACATATGTGTATGCATCCTTTTTTTTTTACATTATAGCTAAAAGGAAAAGCAAGCTGATCTGATTTCTGACTTTACTGCTCAAATTAGGTATTTTAAAACACTGGGCCTTAAAACAAATACCATTCTTCTGTGTATACTAATCACAGGCAAAGAGACTACTATATAGAGTAACTATGTAAATTATCACCCAAAATAAGACATTTTTGAGAGTGAGTGGGGCACTATTAATAATTATGGCAAGGCAATATGCATAAGCTGGGATTATCTCAGACAAACTAGTCACCATATCATCAGGAGAATAACTTCTTGGATGCTGAGCTTGTAAACTCAAAGACATACTCTACTACACATGCCTAATATATATAAGTCACTATAGTGAAAACAGAAAGTGGAAAGGATCAGCAAATACAAGGTAATATAGTTTTTAAGATACTCATTTATACAACCACCGCTAACAAACACACATATAAATAATTCCTTCAGAAATTCACATACTATTTTTCTCCTCAAAGAAATAATAATAATTCATATAGTATCTTTAAATAGATAGAACTCAAAAATTTAGCTGGTAGAGTTTTCTCTCTCTTACTCAGAATTACTTCAATTAAACAAATGGGAAAAGGAAGTAGAACGGTTAGAAAGAAAAGAAAATGGACTATAGTCTTCTACCTAAAGTAAATAAGACATGTTAGAAGAATCACTAAATGCCTTTACCCATTCCAGAGTCTTTCTTGGTACCATCTGATATTATGTCTACATGATCAGAGTCCACATCATAACTAAAGAAATCATTCAAATAGGTCTTCGATCGCTGACCACCAAACACGTATAAGCAACGATTTTTCTGAAAAACAAGATAAAAAGGGCAAGGAAGAAAAAAAGTAGTCATTTCCATGAATAATTCAGAATGATCATTTTAAAACTTGAATTTCAACAAAAGCAATTTTATGAGAGATTTCATGCAGTGGAGTACTACACTGGTGTAACGAGGAATGAGGAACCTCTCTACATACTACAAGAGGTAATCGCAAGGATATCCTATTAAAACAGAAAAAAGCAAGGCACAGAATAATTGTTGCCTTTATGTAAGAAAGGAGAAAAAGAAAGGTGTGTTGTGTTTGTTTCTTTCTTTAAAAAGAAGCAAAGGAAATTAGTAAAAGACAGTTACCTACACAGGAAGGAACAGAGCAGGAAGCCAGAGATAAAAACAAGATCTCTCTGAATGTATACTCACGGTTCTGCCTTTAGATCTATGTGTATGTTTTTATTTAATTAGAAAACAAAATTAACTCAAAAGAAAAAAAAATCTCTGAAATTTGAAAAAAAAGTAAAACAAATAAACCTATCTGTATACCAAGACATGAGCACACAGAGAGACATGATCGCACAGTGAGGTGGTATTTTTATTGATTTTAATTCTTGTTTTTTGTCTACCCATCCCTAGCAGGCTATATCCTAAACAAAAAAATAATCAGAAAGCAATCTTAGACAGCATTCAGTGATTTTTTTTTTTGGTTTGTTTTTGCTATTCTGAAACTATTACAGAAAGTCAGAGCAAGTAGTATCATATTGTCATTAGGAAGCAGGATTTTAATCTTAAAAGATACATGAAAACAAAATCAAAGGTATTAAATTTCAGGGGATAAAAAAGAAAAATGATAGCACTGAGATTAAAGACATCAAATAATATAAAACAGATAAACAAGTTTATACTGTATAGCACAGGGAACTATATTCAACGTCGTGTGGTAACTTATGGCGGAAAAGAATATAAAAATGAATCTATGTATACTCATGTATGACTGAAGCATTGTGCTGTACACCAGAAATTGACACAACACTGTAAACTGACTATACTTCAATAAAAAAACATATACTTAAAAAAATCAAATATATAAAAATCCATGAGTTCATAGTAATACTTAAAAAAAAAAATAACTGGTAAACTTTGGAGCCTAAACCTATTAGTATGAAAAGGTGATAGAGGAAAAGAATCAAACATTTGTATTACTATCCAGTATGCTTTACATATTAGGATAGCTAATTAGTTAACAAATTAATTAGTTATAGTCCCTACTGAAATCTAAGCTATGACTCTCAGAGGCTGTTAAAGCCATTAGGTTAAAAGTTGACAGGAAAGTTTATAATTGATCAGTCAGGCTGATAACACTTAAACCCACTGGAACAATTTTAACATGACAACCATATGTTAAATGCCTCTTCCTTTTTGCAGTCAGAACATCTGTAAAGTATTCTTACATCTCCTCTTTGGCCCTCCCAAAAAAGGAGAGTAAATCTAAAATCAAGCCTCTGGATGTAAGTATCAGCTCACAGGAAATATAGAGCACAGAGGATCATGTTAAATGACACTACGAGTATAAAATCAGCCGAACTGAGAATAAAGGAAATCCTAGAGCACACATGATTAACTGTCTTTAACAAATAAGTGCTACAGGGAACTACAGTCAATATCTTGTAATAACCTTTAATGGAAAAGAATATGAAAACGAATATATGTATATGCATGACTGGGACATTATATAGTACACCTGAAACTGATGTATTGTAACTGATTGTACTTCAATTTAAAAAAAAAAACCAAAACAAATCAGTGCTATACAGAGATCAAAAAATAGGAGAGGGGAGTACTGTTATGGATTAAAAGAAATTTAAGAGTAGTAACAACCAAATGCAATACACAGACCTTTTCTGGATTCTGGCTTGTATAAACCAACTATAAAAAGATATTTTTCAGTATTTCAAGAGACAAATGAATGCAGCATAAAATAAATTGCTTTATTTTGGGTATCATAATGGTACTGTAATTATGTTTTTAAAAAGTCCTTACCTTTTAGTGATACACTATGGTATTTACAAGTGTAATGATATAATGTCTGGAATTTGCTTCAAAATACCCCAACACAATAAAATTAAAGAATAAACTTAAAAATCAAAGAAACATTAAAAAAAGAAATAAGATATAAATTGGTTAGAGACATGAAAAACGAATAGTGGAATAATCGTAACTGTTGAAACTGATAAATATGTATGTAGGAACTTATTATACTTTTCTTTCTACTTTGGTATATGTTAAAAATATTCCACAATAGATTTTTAAAGTTATGTTCACAGCAAGAAGCCCAAGTTTTCACTAAAACATTTGAGAAGGTTAAAGAAATATCTGTATGTTGGTTTTTGCTGATAAATTTTAATTCTCGTTCTATAAAGTCAATTCTTAATTCTCTGCACTTAATGGAGAATACTAGAGGGGAAAATAAAAACAGGTAAGAAAACTGATCTTACAGGTACTAAGAGAAAACAGTAAGTAGAAAGGTATAAAAAAGAGAAATAGCTACAATATCTATATAAACAGTGAAGTTAGTCATGAAAGTGCCTAGATTAGTATTAAGGTGATAACTACTTAAAAATTACTAGGTTGATAGGAAGAATCTTATAATTAGCAAACAGTTCACTGCTAAAGGTAGTTTTTACTGTTGTCTATCATTGCCAACACTAATCATTAATCTCTAACAAAAAATTCTGATCTTACTGAAGAATTGGATTTCACCACTTTTTTTCCTAGTGAGAGATCCATGACAAAATAACATAATTCAATGTACAATATTCTTACTGAGTGGAATAGCATGCAGTGTCCTATCCGAGACTGGATGTCCTCAGGCCCAGCATTACAGGAGTCTTCTCGAAGAAGTTTCCAGGTTTGGCACTGACAGTTGAAAGCAAATAACCCACTGAATTGTGGTTCACTGGCTCTGCTGTCATCTACGCTGCCATTACAGGTTAAAATTCTACCACCAAAGGTGTAGATCATATGTTTTTCGGAGTCCATACACATCTATTAGAACAAGGCAACAGATTGAATAGTTTTAGATTGTTCCTATCATATGTGCTAAAATGAAACCAGTATGTGCATTTTTAGAATCTCAAAAAAACTGACCATTTGTCTTAATAACACTAAATACCACCCCTTATTATGCACTCATATGTAGTTATTAAAATACTGTTCACCACCTGTCAGAGATTCAGGATAGATTTCTAAGGTTTCCATTTTTCCTAGTGAGAATAAAATACGTTAGGTTAAGGAGCTTTATGCTTTGTTTAAGCTGCATAACTCTAACCAAATCAACCAATAATACATTAGGTGCTGATTTATACCTTAGAGCGAATACTGATCATACTCTGAGTAAACAGTAATCATACCCTCCTTATGAAAAAAAAATTCTCTTCTTTCCATTCTAGGCAAGCATCCTATTCATCTTGCTACCATCTGATAGGAGAGCAATATGTGAAGAAGAGTGATGCAGCTAAATTCATCCCTTTGCATTTATTTCACAAAATTCTTCACATTATGCTGCTACCAAATAGTAAAACAAACACACATTTGCAACAGCCTCCAGGCTGACTTATGGAATGACGAATGTTGCCCCCTTTTAAAATGATACTATAAATTCAGTTTTCTTTGAGGTATGTTATGCAATTCAAGTTCAAAAGCCAACCTTGATTCTTCCATTCTTTCAACTCACGGAGATTATTTTCACAAAAATATCTGAGAAAACAGCCATTTTTCACAAGACAATAAATAAGAATCAAAATCTATTTCAAAGAAAATGTTAAGTCCACTTTGGTAATTAGATGTTGAAACAAATGTCATTTACATTTAAAGAATAAATCATGTACATAAAACATCTACTATTTTTTGCTAAAGCACAAATACTAGCCATTAAATGTTCCATTCTCTCCTCCCATCAAATTACTTCTTCTATTTATCTATCTTTTGTATTGTTTTTAATAAAAAACTATTTAAATTATTATAAAGCTTATTTTAAAATTAAATATTAAAAAGAAAGTATTCTAGCATCTCCTAATCTTTACCTACCACTAAAAAGTTCCACTCACTTGCCATGTCCCAGGTTTCTGGCAGAGTTCCAAAAATTAAGATGAAAATCTACAATTCCTTAAGGGTGAAATCTTAGGAAGTATGATTGAAAAACCGAGTGACAAAGTTTTCATATCCCTGGTACTTGAAACAAAAATGACTTTACTCTTTAATCTTACATGATTATATCATGAAAAGCAATCCATACATTGCTGAGGGACCAATACAATGTGAGTCTATTTACATTTTCATAAATTCACAGACTATTACTAACTTTGGCCAATCTCTGTTATCCACCCCTATGGTTCTACTTAATACGGCTACAAAGGGAGTTTCTCTTTCTGTTGGGGGATATTTAAGTTTAATTTTGATAAGGCTATCCTCATTTATCATCAGGGATGAGGTATAAACATCTTTATCTTGGTAGCTCTTCCCAGCATACCAGACCAAACCAATTCAAAAAAGAAGGAAGATACTGAAGTAGTTTGATGATTCTTCCCTCATCTTAGAACAAACAGGACACAAAACAAACAATTTTATTTCTTCACTTTGTTTCTTCCCTGGGTAAGATACGCAGTTTCAATAAGGACCAATTATCAAATGGCAAGTTTTAATCACTCTAGGAAACCTTATGCTGTTCATCAGTTTATGGTTTCCTTTTAATTTTTAATCTCTGAAAAATGCTTCTGGAAATCCAGTAACTTTGCTAGGCTTAGGCTGGGTTCAAAATAATTTTCCCCTCACAAAATTTGAAGATATGCCTATAAAGCCTTCTGAGCAGTGTTGCCCAACCCATCACCCTCCATCCTGCCAACTTCCAAAAATGCCTCATGCTACTCTGATCCCTGCTTACCTACAAAGGTAATTAGTTCTCTCTCTGTGGCTTTCGGGATTTTTCTCTTCTTCTTTGGTTCTGACATTTCATTAAGAAGTATCTAGGTAAGGATATTCTTTTCATTCATCCTGATCTGCACTTGGTATTTCTTTCATTCTGAAAACTATCTTCAGCTCTGGGAGTTTTCTTCATTTTCACCTGGAGTGGTTTTTTGTTTGTTTTTTGACCTCCATTCTCTTTCTAGAATTCCTATTAAGTAGATATCAGAACTTTAGGTATTTTCCTCTGTTTCTTAAATCTTCTCTCATAATTTCCAGTCACTAATTTAGCAACCATTTAAGTTGAGTGTTTTAGAGCCATTTAGAGCCACACTGCTTTTTAATCAATTTACTGAGATTTTTATTTTGCTATCAAATCTTTAATTTATAGCTTTTCTACATATTTCCTTTTCACAGATGCTGAACTGCTCTAAAATATCACCTAAATTTATCTTAAAAACTTCTTCAGTTCACACTACTAGCTGTTTTCCTTCATTAATTCTTAATTCCTTGAGTTCAGTATCTCATCTCATAACTATCTTCAAATATTTGGATTTTGGGGTTATTGTTTTAGCCTTCTTTGTATCTGAGAATCTCTATTCATCTGCCTCTTGCATATACGATAGTGTGCCTCACAGGGCTGGGTGGGGAGAGATGAGACAGGATGCGGTGAAGGGCTCTGTAGCAGCTCTCTAGCGTCCCTTGAGTATGGCTCTATCTTTCCAGCTACAATGTCCACACTCAACACTTGACCTGTGGACAGTTATCACAGTTCCGTGCTACTCAGTCAAACTGGAAAGTGCCCTGCTATTCTGTCTCCAATTAATCATCTAATGTTTGCCCCAGCTATACACTTTGAGACTAAAGTTGTTGCTACCTTATAGGCTGTGGTTGGATCTGATTCTATCTGCTTTCTACCTTACAGGAATTCTCCCAAATATTTTAAGTTCCCTAAGGACATTAATGTATTCTCCTGTCCTTTCACAGGATGTGGGGCAGGAGGACAGTAAAAGTGTATGTTTAGCCTGCCAATATCCACGCTGTCCTGGGGAGAAAGTCATTGAGCTGAGATCTCTAATCCTGTGACTAAAGTTTCTCCTGCCATGTCCTGACTAGCTCGTATCCCATTTTCTAGTAATTTCCTAGTGTTTCTATTTGAAGGACAGTTTGGCTAGATATAAAATCCTTGGCTCACACTGTCTTTTCTTTGAATACCTTCTATATGTTACTCTACTATCTCTTGGCATTGAAGGCATTCGTACAAAAATCTGATATGAGTCCCATTTTACTTCTGGATCATTTTGTCTAGTTTCCCCCAAAATGGCCTCTTTATCTTTGAAATTCAATGTTACTATTATATATCTTAGAGTTCAATGCCTAGGTCAATTTTCCCTGAATATAGCATGCCATTTTGATATGTGGGCTAGTCTTTTTTCAGAAAAGTTTTCTTGAACTTTATTTATAAATATTTGTTCTGCTCCACTGTTTTGGTTTTCTTCTTTAATGTTGCCAGTGATGTGTATATTGCCCCTCTTTTGCCTTTCTTCTCTATCTATAATTTTCTGGCTAATCCTTGTATCTTTATTTCTGTTTTCTTCATCTGCTTTTCTTATGTCTATGCTATATGACCGTTATCTATTCTTCTTTATGCTCCTTGCAGCTTAGTCTTCATTTTTCAAAATGTTATTATATTTCTTTTCAATTTCTTTCCTGAGATTTACCAGGTCAAGTCTCACCTGTTCCTATTATTTGGCCATCTCATTTGCATTCTTTTTTTTTTTTGGTGGGGGCAGGTGGGAGGAGGCAATTAGGTTTATTTATTTATTTAATGGAGGTACCTGAGAACTTGTGCATGCCAAGCATGCACTGTACCACTTGATCTATACCCTCCCTCTCATCTGCATTCTTGAATTTATACCTTGTAGTTTTTTTCAGCATTTCAAACTTCATTTAGTCATTTAATTCACGTTAGAATACTTCTTTCATCTGCTGTTGCATGAAGGAAGTTTTTGCTATTTTTTTCCTTTTATTGTTTTATTTAGAGTACTTCTCTAAAGATTTGGTGTTTAGTGCTTCTTAGTTTTTCATATTTAAATGAGCTGAATTTCCCTGGACCAGATAACACAAGGTTCCTATAGAATGGTGACATTCGTACTCAAGGAGTCCCTCCTCTGTTGCCACTAAACTGAATGGCTTCTTCAAAATACAGTGCTTCTGTGAAGCCATGTCTTCTCTAATTATGAACTTTATCTGGTTTAGGAGGCTTCTATCTCAAGCTCTGAGCATCCCCTGTTCCTTCAAAGGGCATGCAAAAGGAACCACTGTCTCCATTCATAGTGTTTCCCTTAATTTTGGAAGATGGTGCTTTCTGACATCTACACCTATGGGCCCTGTGGGGCACTTTCCACATGTTATTTAACTTACTCCCCTCAGTGGTGCCCTGGGTTCAATTTCTGCTTTACTCATGACACTTCCCACTATGATGTATGTTTGCCAGGCTTTCTCTGCATTCCCAGTTCTCCCCCATTACACCGTTGTGTGCTTCAGTACAGGTTCTGGGTATTACAGATGCTTTTGGCTAAATTTATAAGGAATCAAGTGTTGTGGGTTATCTTTGGCTCTTGGTTTTGCTGAATATGTAACTTGTGTTTTTTAAATCTTTTTGTTTGGTTCTCATTGCTCCTGAAAAAAATCACACAAAGCAACAAAATGGAAAGCTTCAGAACTAAGCTGCTACTATGTTCTGAGGAAATCCAAAAGTCCCTGAATTTTAATTTTTTAAGTATGTTAAAATTCAAAATGGCAAAGTAACTTTTACATGCCTCTAGCTTTCTCATGTTCTTCTCAAATTTGAATGTTAACTATCAAATCTTAAAGTGTCACAAACAATTCCAAGTAATTTCTGGAGTAAGTTCCAACTTATATTTTTACTTGCAGTAAGTGGAATAAAAAATGGAGACTTAAACAGACTGTGTTAATTGTTCAAGGTCACAGAAGTAGTTGTTGGCTGAAATAGTACTGAAATTCTGGTTCCTTCACCCTTGTGTTCTGTTAATAACATCTAATGAATTGAACACCAAGCATTATTAAACAGAACCTAGGCTTCAAGGAACATTTTATCTTACCAAAGTCAAGAGAAACAAAGGCCACACACAAGAACAACTTATGTGCTGTATTCAGACTACCCCTAAGCTATTCTTTTTTCAATCTATAATAATAAAAACATAAACCTCTTTTGTAAAAGAAATTTGTAACCAGTTGGAAGCAAGAAAATAAACTGCTCCCCTAACAATGTTATCTGGTGATGTTCTGTTTTTAAAAGATCAGAACCAGTTTAACTGTTTTGGAGCTATTTTCCACATGAACAACACTGAGGATGTAAGCAGGGAAATGCAAAGCTTTGCAGAGCTCAGTTATGTAGAGCCAGCAAAAGTTCCAAATTCAATCTGCAGAGTACTTCAAAGCCTAATATTTTTGGTTTTCTACCCACTACTTACTTGATAGACATGTAACTCACTTCTCTTTTCCCTATCTCTCCTATAAAACCCACTTAATATAAAGATGGCAGGAGGTTATTCTTACAGTAAAGAATTAACAAAAATTGGTAAACAATAAAAAAAGACTTCGGTTTTAACACCTAGATATCAGGCACAAGCTGGATTCTGTCATAATTCTAGCACCACTTCCCATTTGTCAAGTACTACATAATGCTTTGTTCATCAATACAGTGTTACAGATTTTTAAAGCTTTTTTCTTCCCTATACTCCAAAAAAACTTTGGACATGGGTTGAGCCAAGCAAAACTGCCTATAAAATTCAAAGTGGTTACTATTTTGTTTGAGATACTGACCTATACTGATACAAAATAAGTATTCAAAGACAAATAACAATGATAATGACACCAATGGGATGATGATGACAGCTATATGCATATTACAATCGTTTACAAGACTACTAATATGTAGTCTCCTGGACTACAACATCATCATGTGATTTTTGTTGTACTTAAACTTCATCTAATATATGCCAAATTCTTATCTGTTTTATAGTGAGTTTGTGATTATATATAAAAGTAAATACATTTCACTTGTACTAGAAGAAAAGCTCTAGATTTCAAATTCTTGAACTCATTATAATTTTAAATCTTCCAGGAATGTAGAATAAAATTTTTTAAAAGGGCAAGTTGTTATTATGATTTATGAATATCATAAAACAAAATTTGTTTTCCCTAATATATATTGCTCCATCTACTCTCTGAAGTTTTTATAAATTAACAACTGTGTTCTGAGATCTTAGTATTTTATCCTGCACCAAACAAGAAAAAAAAAACCTTAAGAATAACCTTATACCTACTGAAAACAACAGTTGTTTTTATTATCTGTCACAGGTATTCACAGTGAAAATCACTAACAGACAACTCAGCATAACATGTAAAATAAACTCTAAGAGTAAGAGTCACTGAGCACTAATTAGTTCCACCATATAGTTATCTATGCACCAAACCTGATGATCAAACACCAATTTCGGTCCTCCATCAGCAGCAGTATCCTCACTGAGTAACATCCATGTGTTTGTGTCAATGTCATAACGATAGAAGTCACTTTTCAAAGATTTGCTGTTCCTCACAGAGGAATCCAAATAACGCCCCAATGTGTAGATTTGCCTCCGTTGAATGTCAATGCACATTTTATGACATGATCTAGCACTAGGACCATTCTGCGTAGAGCAAAAAAAAAAAAAAAAAAGAGAGAGAGAGAGAGAGACAATGAAAAAAAAATTCAAAGAATAAATAACAGAAACTAAAATTAAGTGCCCTCTTTCGTTGACTTCCACAAAAAGGTTTGCTCAAAAACTTATATCAAGTTTAATACTAGGCTTAAATCTCTAGTGGAAAATAAAATAAGCAGTAGGAGACACAAATGCTTTAATTCTACCAGGAAAGACGAGATGAACTATTCTGTACCTTATGACACTCTGTTTATAACAATATATGGATGCTACTGTATATTCCATTACATTTCAGTCATTTGTGCATAGAGCTTAATTCTTCCTTACATGTCAAGCTACTTAAAGACAGGTTTGGTCCTTCGAAATATTTTTGTATATCTCATCAGAATCTAGCATAAAATAGGCACTCCAAGAATATTTAAAATTTCATAATTGGAAGTAACCTTAAAAAATGTGTAGTTTAATGATCTCCTTTTTAAAATGAGATAATAAGCCCAGACAGGAGAGATATCCCCCTGAAAGCTAGTAAGCTAGTGACAGAAGCAGAGTGAGAGTCCAAGTCTTTCTGTCCTTCAGCCACCCTTTACATTATATAAAACTGACTCTCCAGACAGAATAACTCAGCTACATTAAACAAGTAGGAAACAAAATGAAAAACATTATACTATCAACAAAAATTAATTAGTTGAGATCATTTGTATCACAGGAGTGAATAAAAGGTATCACAGGAGTGAATAAAAGGTAAAAAAAAAATTGTAGTATAAGCCAAAAAAAGAGTTCATTAAAAAAAAGAAGAGGAATTTCAATTGGGTAGGACTGGATTGGTTAAAAGGGGGATAAAGAAAGAGAACTAATGTTTGTTAAATATCTCCTAAATTCTGTCTATATTATTACTATGTATGCATGTATATATTTCAATTACCCTTGGAACAATTCTATGAGGAAATGTTATCACCATTTCACAGAGTCTAAGTAATTCTATAGTCGCAAAACTAGGAAATAAGATAGAGAATAAGAATAAGAATAGAGAATAAGAGAAGTAAGCCCCAGTGTAATCAGGCCAAAAGCTATGCTCTTTCCACTATTCCAGATTGTTTTCTCCAGAAGGTAAGAGAAACAAAAGCAAAAATACACAAAATACAATGTGTGGGGCTATGACTGAGATGAATTCCTGCTGCAGAAACAACAGAGTTGAAATATAAGGCAGAAATAGGAAGCCTGTGAATGACTGACAGAGGAGAACTAGATGTAATCTTGCAAGCAATATAGAACTATTACAGGTTTCTAGAGTAGGATATCACATAAAAAAGTAGTATTACAGGAGGAGTAATCCAGCATTATTTAGATTAAATGAAGGAATAAAAATATTAGATAGGAAGACCAGTTTGACATTAGTGTTATTAATCCAGATATTAAGTTGCTTTGAATCTGTAATTTAGTATTCATACTATTATCTTAAAAATTATTTTAAAAGATTTTTGTGAAGGAAAATCTTTAGCAGACAGGGTAGAAATTTTATTTAAGAAAGTATTTACTCCATAATTAAATAATCTGAAAAATAAATATGGGGTAATATATATTAAATCTATGCCATATTTCCTAGAGTATGAAATCTGAAATTTTAATAGAATACCAGAACTTCTTGCTTCAGTTTAATTAGCACAAGTGCTATTAAAATGATGAGCAAATTATATCCTAACTAAGAATAAAAAAGGGATAAGAATAGAAAGCAAGAGAATAGAGCAGACAAAAGTAGAGAAAGTTAATAAAGCTGTTTTTTGAAAGCTTAATAGATTATAAACCACTAGGTAAGACTAATTTTTTCAAAAGGGAGAGAAAATACAAACTGCCAGTATCAGAAATGAAAGCAGTAGTATCATCACAAGCTTTCTAGATATTAAAAAGAAAACAAGGAACTACCATGAAAAACATAGATAAAATTTGACTACATAGATAAAGTGGACATATTTCCTGAAAAAATTAAAACTCATTAAAATTGACACAAGATGAAAGAGAAAATCTGAGGTCATTGTATCAATTGAAAACTTGGATTTATAATTTAAAACCTTCCCACGTAGAAAATGCCAGCTCCAGATATCTGAACTGGTAAATTTTATCAAATACTTACAGGAAAAATACTGTCAACTTTTTTCAGAAAACCGAGGAAGAAAAAGACCTCCATTTTTCATCTGTTTTGTAATCATTCCTAACTTACATACTTTATGAGGACAACATAGCAGTGAAGTGAAATAACAATATTACAGAGGGAGAGGAGAAACAATATATACATAGTTAGTATACCTCATCAACAGACACAAAACTCGTCTTTAAAATATCAAATAGAATATGGCAATATATAAAAAAAGCATATTTCATAACTAAAGAGAGTTTATCTCAGAAATGCAAGGCCCATTTTATATTTGAAAACCAATCAAGGTAATTCACCACATTAAAAGACCAAAGGGAAAAAACATGATCTTATCAACATATATAGAAAAAGCACTTGATAAAATTCAACAGATATTCATGAGGAAGAACTCACCAGACACTAGAAATAGAAATGAACTTCCTCAATCTGACAAATGATGTATAAAAATCCTAAATCTAATTTTTCACTTAATGGTGAAATCTGAAATGATTTCCTGCTAAGATCTGAAACAGAGTAAGTATATCTATTCTCACCTCTCCTATTTAACATTGTACTGGAAATTCAATGTCAGTGCAATAAGGCATTAAAAAATAAAATAAAAAGTTTATGATAAAAAAAAGGTGGAAAGAAAGAAGTAAAACTGTCTCTATTCATAGATGACAGGACTGTTTAAAATATCTTAAGAAATCAACAAAGAACAGAACAGAAACTGTTAGAAATAATAAGCAGACTTAGAAAAGTGACGTGACACAAAGGCAATAATAAAGCACCAATTTACTTCAGTATATCAGCAACAAACAAATTGAAACTTAAAAAATTTTAAGTTTATAATAGTGTGGAAAAACAAAATACACTGGGATCCATTTAATGAAAACAAAAAAGACCTCTAACCTGCAAGCTCCATGTGCAGAGAGATAATGAATAAGACTGAAGTAAATGGAAATATAACACTGTTCATGGATTAGAAGACTCACTATCATTAAGACATCAATTCTCTCCAAGTTGATTTATAGATTCAACACCTTTCCAATCATAATTCCAACAGTTTCAGAAACTGACAACACGATTCTCAAATTTACATGAAGATGTAAAACACCTAGAAGAGTCAAAATAATTTTTAAACAGAAGAACAAAGAGGTGTGACATTACTTGACCTGAAGGAGTAACATACTGGAATATAAACAGACCAAAGGACAATGAAGCAGATTAGAGTGTGGAAAAAGAGACATATACTTATACGCTCAACTGATTTTTGACAAAGGTGCCAAAGCAATTCAACAGAGAAAGGAGATACAGAGCAACCGGAACTCTATACATTTCTGGAAGGAATACAAAATAGAACAACTACTTTGGGAGAAGTTTTAAAAATTTCTTCAGTGGATGCTAAAAGGGTGAAAGTTTGATGAGTAACAATATTTTCATAATCTCAAAATGTTTCCCTACAAATTACTTATTAATTATAGAGTGAGAAATCTGGTGAACACCTTTCTTAACCAACTGATCAAAGCTAACATCAGACAAACTGACATAATGTGCAATCCTAATATGATAAACTGAGAAGGATCCAATGTCCTCCACATGGCATTCTTGCTAAAAATGCTTAATCTATATATCCAATCCTAGGGAAACATCATAGAGACTCAGCTGAAGGATATTCTAGAAAATAACAGCCTTGCATTCTTCAAAAAATGTCAAGGTCAAGAAAGACAAGGAGAAGTCAAGGAACTGTTCCAGACTAAAGATGACTGAAGAAACATGATATTGAAGTGCAATGCATGAAAATGAATTGAGTCCTGGGTCAGGGATAGAGGTTAGGGGTAACAGTAAGACAACTATAAAGGACAGTACTGAGGCACAATTGGGATAACTGTCTATATGTGAATAGGGACTGTGGATTAAACTAAAGCAGCAGGTCTCAGTGCAGTCGGGTCTCTAAGACACTTCAGGGAATCCACAAAGTCAAACTATTTTCAAAACAATACTAAGATAAAAAAAATTTATCTTTTCACTCTTATTCTCTTATTCTCGTATGAGTATAAAAATGACTTTCGATATAACAATAGACTGAATGTAGAAGCAGATATGAATCCAGCTGCCTTCTATTAAGTCACAGTTAAAGAGATTTAGGAAATTATAAAACAATGCTACTTGATGGTAGCGACTTGATGGTTGCCTCAAGAAAAAGCACCTATGCAATTGTTTGAGTTGCAAGCTGACCGAGCTGCATTTTTGATGAAATACTATGTTTATTTGAAAGAAAACTAACAATCCAAATATGGTTATTCAGACATTTTCTAAAAAATAAATGAACTAAACAAGGAAACCACCTAAAGGTCCACTGACAGATGACTGGATGAAGACGTGTGATATGTGTGTGTGTGTGTGTGTATGTATGTATATATGTGTGTGTGTGTGTATACATATATATATATACATACATATATACATATATATATATATATATATAACTCAGCCGTAAAAAAGGATGAAATAATGCCATTTTCAGCAATATGGATGAACATAGAGATTATCATATTGAGTGAAATAAATCAGAGAGAGAAAGATAAGCATCATATAATATCACTTTATATGTGGAATCTAAAAAAATGATACAAATTCTGTTTGCCAACCAAAAACAGACTCCCAGACATAGAAGACAAACTATGGTTACTAAAGGGGAAATGGCAGGGAGGGATAAATTAGTAGGAGTTTGGATTAACAGACACACATTACTATATATAAAATAGATAAACAACATGGACCTACTGTATAGCACAGGGAACTATATTTAATTTCTTCTAATAACATTTAATGGATAAGACTCTGAAATGAAAAAATATATATGTATATGTATAACTGAATCACTTTGTTGTACACCTGAAACTAACTAATGTAAATTAACTATACTTCAATTAAAAAAAATGAAGTGTGTTATCCTGAAGGAAAACAACTGACAAAATTTTTTGCCAATAATACAGTGCACATTTTTAAACAAAAATTAGAGTTGTAGAAAACTTCTACCTGCCACTGTGATCTTGACACTTTTCCAATACTTAAAAGACTTTTCTAATGAGATTGACAGAGATATTAATAAATGTGGTTTTGGGGGATAGTACATAATAAAATATGTCAGCAATTGGAAGATGTACATAACTCAGATTTTTTCAAGGGATCAACACATGAGTTAAAAAAAAAAAGCATGGGTAAAAGATACATTCAAAGAGCAACACAGACCAGTGGATTTTAATTTAACAGAATACAAAACATAAGCTGATACGGCTTCAGAGTCTATAGTGCAATTACATTTAAGAAACAAAAACTTGTCAAGTTGGGGGATAAGATCAAAAAAGAACATGTATTATCTAAACTATCAAAATACTACTTTCCTTCCCAAGAATATCAATGTGAGGTCCAATTTTCTTCATATATTTCACACAAAACAACATGTTGCAAGAGATTAAATGCAAAAGCACATAAGAATCTAGCTGTCTTCTGTTAAGACACTGAAGAGATTTATAAAAATGCAAAATTAAAGAAAAATACAATTTGTTTTGAACCTATAAAAACGTATGTGCATGAATATTTAAAATAATTATTCTCTTTAAGAGCTGAGCCATTCTATTATCTTTCAATCTACTACATGTGCTATTAAATACATGTTTAATCTAAGTAAATTAATGTGAATTTTGCTTTTTTTTGTGATCAATATTTTTATAGATTATACTCCATTTAAAGTTATTACAAAAATAATGGTTATATTTTCCCATGCTGTATAATATATCCTTGTTGCTTATTTATTTTATACATAGTAATTTTGCCTTTTAATTGTATAGCATACTTTTAAAACATATGCACTGGGGTATCATCAAACAATAAAACTTGTACTTACTGGTACAGAAAACAAAATTAGATGTATGAAATTCTAACTGTTCAGTTTTGGAAGGAATGAGCATTTTGCTAGAGCCATGTATTCCCATTCACTTCAATGATGGATCAACAAAAGGTTTTTAGATATTTAAATGAAGAAAGTAATACTAAATTACAATAAATCTGAATTTCAGTACTGAATTACCACTTTACTTTATCTCTGTTGACTTCAAAATAATAAAAACAAAGTGTTCTCATCAAAATAACTTCTGTATTTTCCCAATACTAGTTTTAAATAATTATTAATTGCATTCTAGGTATTACTCACATGCAAATGGTAAAAAGGTAATACCCATGCCCAGCTTCAAAAGTAGAACAATAATATTCAGCTTTGAGGCCCCCTATAAACCATCCCCCTTTCCTGCCAAAGCAGCCACTCTCCTGAATTTTGTATTTATCATTCCTTTGCTTTTCTCCAGTATTAACTTTTCATTTAACTTACCTCACCTATTTACTCATTAAAGAGTAAGCATATGATTCATGCCTTAAGGAATTCAGTCTCCACAGGGAAACAGAAATGTAAACCAATCATTACAGTAATCCATTCAAGGAATATAAGAGGTTAAGTGGACACACCAAAGGAAGCTTCTAATTCTGCATAGGGAAGTCAAGAAAGGTTTCATAGAGGAAGTAAAATCTTAACCGAGTTTTAAAGAATAAGTAGGCATTTTCTAGGTAAAATCTGGATGCATGGGAGGAGGAGCCTGATTAATTCCATCAGGGAAAACACTATTCCAAAGAACACATATGAGAAAGTTGAATGATTCTAGCAACTGCATGTATGGCTAGCACATAAAGTCAAAAAAATGAGGCTAGAAAAATAGATGAGGACC